GGCGGGCGCCGCGCCGGGCGTAGCCGAAGCGCGTCCCCGGCGCCGGCCCTCGGGTTTCCGGCGGCTGCCGCGCTGTCGGTGCGCCGCGGCGTCTCCGCCCTTCGCCTGGAGAAGAGCTGTATGAGGCGCGAGAGTACTGCAGTTAAGCTTCGGGGAAAACCCTCCAGATGTGGGCTGGATTCCGATCGCGTTACAGATGAGGACGCTGAAGCCAGAGGTTGGGGGCGTGAGAGTCACTGCGGGTCCTTGGGAGAGAGGCGTGCACCCCACTCCAAGCGCCTGCCTCCCCCGGGGGCAGTTGGGTCCCCGCAGAAGCCCTTCCGGCCGCCGCATAGAACCACACTGCACTGAACAGTGGGCATGGCTTGTCATTGTGTGGCAGGGACTGTGACAGAAACGCTGGGCGGGCGTCGTGCATGTCATCCTCGGGCGGCTGGAGTACAGGGAGGAGACCGAGGCGCGAGCAAGTAACTTGCTGGGGGTCATGCAGCCACGAGACGCGTGGGCTTCGAATCCAGGTGGTTCTTCTCCAGAGACTGCTTTCTGACCCCTGTTGCATCTCTTTCCTAAAAGAGTGTCATAAAAAACAATCACAACACTTTTTTTTTTGGAGAGATTTATTGCTATAGGGCACGTGTGCTCGCCAGAATGACAGAGAGACAGAAAGCCAGAAATCACACACACACACACACACACACACAGACGGGGAGATGGCCACACCGCAATCCCTTCTCCTCCATTCTCCCCTCGGGATCTTGGGCACGCAGGCACACGTGCCCAGTGTACAACACATTTTTGGGGTTTAAAGATCTTCACTGACTTGCAGTTCTAGAATGAGTGTCGTGATGAGCCGAGCAGAGAAGGTTGGCTTTATAGACAGAAAAGAGCAAAGTAGAACCGGAACAGAAAGCCAGGCAGGTTGTTCCAGAGTCACTTTCCTTGTACAGGCGAAAGCAAAGGAGACTTCTTATCACACCAGCTAAACTCCTCCGTTTGCGTATTTTCCTAGTATCTCTCTCCTGATTTCTTGGAATATCAAACAAGTTGGTGGCACAGGGAGGACTTCAGCATAAGTAACTCTCTTGGTTTGGGCAGCTGGGCCTAATGCAGCTTGATCCAAACCAATGTCCTGTGTTTTATTTAATGGTAATCATGAATAACCCGAAACGTCAACCAGTGAACCATGTGTTTATTGAACTGTCTCCTGCAAGTAACACAAAATACTTGAGAATCCAGAAATGTACCTATCAACCCAGTGTGTTTATTTATTTTTAATCATTATTTTATTTTATCTTATTTATTTTTAATTTGATCAGAAAGAGAGAAAGAGGGAAAATGAGAAAGCAAGCCACCAGGCCTGGCACTCAAATCTAGGTTGTCCATGTGGGAGTGTCCAGCACCTTAACCACCACACCACCTGCTGGTCCCAATCCAGTGTATTTAAAACATGCCTAAAAACTATACTTTGTTCCATGAAAGTAAAATGTCTTTATTAAAGCAGGTTGTTATCCATGAGTTTTTTGTTCTGTTTTGTTTTGTTTTTTGAGAGGTTTTTGCTATAGGGCACATGCACTCGCCAGACAGAGAGAGACAGAGAGACAGAAAGCGAGAAATCACCCCCCAGGGGGGAATGGCCACACCGCAATCCCTTCTCCTCCATTCTCCTCTCGGGATCTTGGGCATGCACGCACACACACCCGGCGTGAGTTTAAGCCACCAGGTCCGGGACTCGAACCACAATCGACTACATGGGAGTCCAGCGACATAGCCATTATGCTAACTGCTGGTCCCTCCATGACAGTTTTCTACTTCTTTCCTTAAATATGCTTGAGGTCAAGGAAGAATCACTTTCTATGAACATGGACTTAGATCATCAACACCCTGGGATATTTTTGACCACCTGAAGGATAATTACATGTACACATAAAATGAAATCTAACTTTAATTTTTTTAATGGAACTTGTCATGCATCCACATACTCCTGTCATGAGTTTAAGCCACTGGGTCTGAGACTCGAACCACTGTCAACTCTGGGAGTCCAGCAATGTAACCACTATGCCATCTGCTGGTCCCCCATCCCATTTATTTTGTGAAAGGAAGGAGAATAGTATATTTGTTTGTCTCCAGAAGGATTCTCAAAAAGATGATGTGGGTTCTTTCTAGAGAAGGGAAGTGAGTGACTAGAGAACAAAGAAAGTGACTTTTCACTCTTGCGTGTGGATGTATGGCATATTTCAAATTAATAAAACTTAATTTTTTTAAAAAAGAACACAGCACTCACTCCGCAGCTAATGACTTGGCCTCCTTCATTGGAGGCTTTGGCTAGCCAGTGGGACATACAACCTTACACAGCCAGGTGCTTTCCTCTGGATGTTTAGGGTCTTGTGGGCGGTAGACGTGGGCAGTTACCTATTGTCCCTGACCCATGGAATAAGGACAAAGTGCCACCTGCAGACACAGTAGGGAGTTGCTGCTTGTTCTCACCAGGGAAGGAATTTGAGTTCTGTAAGTAGAATGAAGGGTCCAGTGGCAGGCCGGGAAGGGAGCAGGAAAGACTTTTCATGCAGAAGGAAAAGGTGAACCAACGTGCGAAAGCTGCAAGGAGCTGGCCCATCTACCCAGAGCCCAAGATGGAGAGCAAGGGGGACATCAAGGACAGGTCCTGTGGGCCTCTAAATGCCACACTAAACTAAACGTCATCACTGGGGGATGGAATCCAATAAAGCTTTTTGAGGATCCATAAGGCCATGATCTAACTTTTTTTTTTTAATAGATACATAATCGAGATTGCTCTGTGCTTAGATCAAAGCAGGGGAAAGAAAAAAAGGGGTCATAAAATTGAGGACTGGTTGAGGGTCTCCACTGCAAATAAGCTAGGGGTCCATGTCTACAGGTTCTACTGGGGGCCTTCTTGTTTTGTTCTCTGGGCCCTGTTTCGGAATCTTTGGACCTTGTGAAAAGACCATTGCTCTTAAACGAGACAGTGATTTTAAATAACCCTGCCTTTTGTTGTTGCTGTTATTGTTTCTCCAAAGGCTGACATCCTTCATTATCCATACTGAGCATGGCCCTACTGAGACAGTTTGAAATTTATATCATGTGGACCTTGTTAGGAGCCAAGAGAGATGGGCCATTTCAGATGTCCCTAGGGAACCATTCCCAACTGGGAAGGGCTGTCTGCACTGACTCACAAGTTAAAGATGAGCCTCTGACTTCCAGAAAGTGAGGTAAGTTCCTAAGGCATCAGGCAGAGCTTGAGAAAGGGTTGCTAAGGACGGTGTCACCACTGGAAGCTCTTCAATTCCGACTTCAATTCATTTCCCCTTGGAGAAGCAAAAGTTCCCCATGAGTGACTGGGTAATGCCTTTGAGGCATTTTCCAAAATCTGGGGACTAAATAGCTATTAGGGCAGGTATCCTCACACCTGCACTGACTTTGCCAGACAGGTGCCCTGGGAAAAGGCATGGAAAAGATGTTAATAATAGCATCGTGTTGTCACACAGCCTTCCTGCAACGCTGTCCTTTGGGAGAACCTCTAACAAGCTCTCTGTGTAGTCAACATCATTGCACGAGCATTATCGCATGCAATGTACCCTCCCAGGGACACAGCCGTGACACAGATCCTGAGTGGGACATGCTCCCTGACCTCATGGAGGGCACACGGGAGACCTTTTTCTTTTTGTAATGATTTAAATCTCACCTATTTGTGAACAAAAAATCTGAGACAATTGCATAGAATGGAAAGCAGATAGAATAAAAATAAATACAGTTATAACGAAATAACAGGCCTAACCTGGGTGGTGCATGTGGTAGTGAACTGAAGTGCAGTGCTGGAAGCCACATGGCTGGCCACACACGGGTTCAGATCCCAAGTGGACTTGAAAACAAACCAGGCATGTGCGCCCAGGATCCTGGCATGCTGGAAAGCTAGGGAGGGGGTTTGTAGCATGAGGAGGCTTTACTGAGGGTACACCCCCTCCTCTCATGAATACACTTTCAAAAATAAGGATATAGGGACCAACAGTTAGCGTAAAGGCTATGTCGCTGGACGCCCATGTAGTCGACCGTGGTTCAGGTCCCAGACCCAATGGTTTAAAACTCACACCGGGTGTGTGTGCGTGCATGCCCAAGATCCTGAGAGGAGAATGGAGGAGAAGGGATTGAGGCATGACCAACCCCCCTGGGAGGTGATTTCTCGCTTTCTGTCTCTCTCTCTCTCTGTCTGGCGAGCACACACGCCCTATGGCAAAAACCTCTCCAAAAAAAAAGTAAGGATGGATATAGGACCAGCAACTGACATACTGGTTACATCGCTGGACTCCTACATGGCTAACAGCAATTCGAGTCCCAGACACAGAGGCTTAAAATTCATGCTGGGCATGTGTGTGCATGCCGGAATCCAGAGAGGAGAATAGGAGAGAAGGGATTATGGCATGGCCATATCGCCATATCCTCTGGGGTGATTTCTTGCTTTCTGTCTCTCTCTGTCTCTTCGGGGATCACATACACCATATAGCAAAAAAAAAAAAAAAAAAAAAAAAGGCAAGGAAGAACAAAAACCAGACTGATCTGGTAGCCTATTGGCTAAGGAAGATGGAGCCCGCACGGCCAACTGAGGTTCAAATCAAGCTCCACCAGCTTGGAAAACATGCCAGGCATGTGTGATTACATGCCCAAAATTCTGACATGATGGAGAAATAGAGGAGAAGAGGTTGTGGTGTGACCATACCCATTGGGGGGTGCTTCTCCCTCTCCCTTCTTTTCTGTCTCTCTGGTAATCACACAAGCTCTCTGACCATTGAAAGAGAAGGAAAGAAAAAACAGCTAAAAGGAGCAGAAACTACCTGGTGATCAGGCTTAGGAAGTAATTAGACACCGTCCTCAATGTGAGGTCCCCAACAGTCATGGCAAAAAGATATTGGGACACAGTCTCGTAAATATGGGACAAGCACCCCAAAGATTCCAGTCCAAGGCAGTTGGTGACAAGCCTGATGAGGTGAAAGGGGTCACATGATCCACGAGTCAGTGAGGTGGTCTCCTGTCCATAGTGAAGATGCTGCTGCTAGAAGCTCATAGAAGGATTTCGGTCATTTTCTCAGTCTCCTTCGGGCCAGTGAGACCTACTTACCATTGACCAGCCAAAGGTTCCTTCAGCAGACAAAGATGGGATCTCATGGAATGAAGAACGTACCGTAAAGATGAAGTGATGAGCTCTGACCTCAACCAGCACCACTAACCACAGGAGAAGGGGCAGTCTCTGAGGGGACTGGCGCGTCACCGTCTCTCAGAAAGTCCTCAAAACGGAGTGTTATGTCAGGTACTATACTTTTTTTTTTTTTTAAGAGCTTTACTGAGGGGGAACCAGCAGTTAGCATAATGGCTATGTCGCTGGACTCCCACGTAGTCGATCGTGGTTCGCGTCCTGGACCCGGTGGCTTAAAACTCACGCCGGGTGCGTGTGCGTGCATGCCCAAGATCCCGAGAGGAAAATGGAGGAGAAGGGATTGCGGCGTGACCATCCCCCTTGGGGGGTGATTTCTCACTTTCTGTCTCTATGTCTCTCTCTGTCTGTCTGGCGAGCACACACGCCCTATAGCA